TAAAAATATAACAATTAGCTAGGCGTGGTGGTGAACACCTGCAATTCCAGCTACTTGGGAGGCTGAAGCACAAGAATAACTTGAACCTGGCAGGTAGAGGATGCAATGAGCCAAGACTGTGCCACTGTACTCCCCCTGGGTGACAAAGTGAGACTCTGCCAAAAAATAAATAAATAAATAAAATGTTATTGTAGGCTGGGCGTGGTGGCCTATGCCTGTAATCCCAGCACTTTGGGAGGCTGAAGCTGGTGGATCACAAGGTCAGGAGTTCAAGTCTGGCCTGGCCAAGATGGTGAAACCCCATCTCTACTAAACATACAAAAATTAGCCAGGTGTGGTGGTGTGCACCTGTAATCCCAGCTACTCGGGAGGCTGAGGCAGAGAATCACTTGAACCTGGGGCACAGATGTTGCAGTGAGCTGAGATCATGCCACTGCACTCCAGCCTGGGCAACAGAGCAAGACTCAGTCTTGGAAAAAGAAAGTTATTATAATTAAGACAACGAACTTGCTGAACCTTCTTGCCTGTTGAGGAACTTCCTGTATAATCTACTACATCTGTAATATATCTGTAACTGCTTTTAATAAACTGAAACTTCCCCAAAGGCAAGGCAATTATTGGTATGTTCTCCCATAAAATGGACCCTGCTACCAACAAAAAAAAATGAAGTTTATTGAACTGGACTAATGGATTAATGGTTGAATCCCAAGTCTTACACTACATTAGAGAACAATTATTCTTATTCCTCAAAGGGAATGCTTTAAAGAAGGAAAAGCACATGCTTAGAGAGGGCATTTTAAGTGACTCAACTGTCAAAATCTCATTTCCAAAACCTTAGCTCAGGAAACCAAGGGACATGTGAAAAAGCAAGAGGAAAAAATAACCACACATTTAAACATAAACATGACCTGAGCACTCTCCCTAGGCAGTCTCAAATGCCATTTCGAATTCAGAAATTAGCCATTTACTCAAACTTCTATAACCATTTGAATGCATACTGTCTACTTCTTTACAGAAAACGTTTGCCAATTCCTGGCATAGACGGTGGAGTTCAGACTTGAGTAAGCTGAAAATCCTTCACAATCTTATCCCAAACAGATTAATTATCACCACTCTCTAAAACACCATAAACTCCACCCTATTTTCTTTTGGGCCTACATAATTTTGCATATTTTATTTCTTCTTTTCTTTTTTTTAAATCTGAAACTCCTATTCATGCTTCAAAACCCAGCTCAGTTTGTTCTTCCTCTATTGGACTTTCCTCAACCCTTCCTGGCAAGTAATGTCCTATAACATTTTTAAATATTTCTATTATAGTACTTTTGAAAAATCATGGCAGACAGTGTATGTGTATCTATTACAGCACATATGGTAATGCAGTTACCTTATTTGTTCTGACAATGTCTCTAAGTAAACTATTCTCTACATTGATTGTCTTAATAATTTTTATATGCTCAGGGCCTAACACTAGGAGCATTTAACAACTGATGAAGGGAAAAAAAAAACAACCAGTGAAGAAAGTCTGCCTTCCTGACCCATCCTGTTGCCTTTCATCTATCCAACCCAGATCCAGGCATTTCAGACTTTATGCATATTTAAGGGTAGGAGGGCCGGGGCGCAGTGGTTCACACCTGTAATCCCAGCACTTTGGAAGGGTGAGGTGGGTGGATCACCTGAGGCCAGGAGTTCGAGACCATCATGGCCAACATGGTGAAACCCCATCTCTATTAAAAATACACAAATTAGCTGGGTGTGGTGGCATGTGCCTTTAGTCTCAGCTACTCAGGAGGCTGAGGCAGGAGAATCGCTTGAACCCGGGAGGTGGAGGTTGCAGTGAGCCAAGATTGTACCACTGCATTCCAGCCTGGGTGACAGAGCAAGACTCCATCTCAAAAAATAAAAAAAATAAAATAAAAAATAAACTAGACATCAAGTTACTGACCTAGATTATTTGGCTCTTCCTATCAAGAAAGGTTTGACTTTCTAGGGAGTAAAATGGAGATATAACCTACTTTGAAAGAATGGCTGAGAAAATTAAGAGAGGAAATGTATATAAAGCACTTGGCACCTCATCTGACCTAGAATAGGGGCACAACAAATGTTACTATCATGATCATTTATAAAGGTAGCAAAAACATTCCAGCTACATGATATTTTCACTTGCTGAGATTATGAACACTCAGCAGCTTACCCAGTGGACATTCACATGCAATGGTTTTTAAGTTGCTGGGTACTTACTGTCTTTCTCGGTGGTCTCTAGGCATATGAGAAGCTTTGGATGTTCAAGTCAGCAAATGATAACAAATTCTGCTGCAGCCGGGCGTGGTGGCTCACGCCTGTAATCCCAGCACTTTGGGAGACCATGGGTGGATCACGAGGTTAGGAGATTGAGACCATCCTGGTCAACATTGTGAAACCCTGTCTCTACTAAAATACAAAAAACTAGCCGGGTGTGGTGGCATGAGCCTGTGGTCCCAGCCCCTTGGGAAGCTAAAGCAGGAGAATCACTTGAACCTGAGAAGCGGAGGTTGCAGTAAACTGAGATTGTGCCACTGCACCCCAACCTGGTGACAGAGACTCTGTCGCAAAAAGAAAAAAAAAAAATTTCTGTGGCACAGTACATATCCAATTCCCTGAAAAAGTCAGCAGCAGCTGCTACAATTACAAATAGAAGCCTTAATTCCTCAACACTCAGGTAACTAACCAAACTGTCTGTTGATTTATTGCAAATAGCTACTACTTAACAGGGCATTGCTACAAATTGCCTTAGGTCCCATGTTTTATATATTCTATCCTTATACAACTCTAAGGGATAGATACTATGTCTCCCTTTAAATAATGTGCTTCTGGAGTCTGGCTGGGTGGATCTCATCTATAATCCTAGCACTTTGGGAGGCTGAGGTGGGAGGATCTCTTGACCCCAGGAGTTCCAGACCAGCTTGGGCAACATGATGAAACCCCATCTCTACAAAATATACAAAAATTAGTCAAGTATGGTGGCATGCGCTGTAGTCCCAGCTCCTCAGAAGGTGGGGGTGGGAGGGTGGCTTGAGCCCAGGAGGCTGAGGCTACAGTGAGCTGTGATGATGTCACTGCACTGCAGCTGGGGTGACGGAGAGATACTGTCTCAAAAAAAAAAAAAAGTTTCCAACACTCTTTTTTTTCTCCGACCATAAAAGCAATTTCATAATTACACCTGTAAGTTATGGGAAAGTGTGAAAACCCTTCTACCGCCCATTTGCCATATGATCATTGTGAATATTTTCACTTTGTGTTTTGACTAAAAAAGGGTTTTTCTTGAAAACATCCATTGGATTTGTTTTTAAGCTGTTTAATATGAAAATGTTCAAATAGTTGCAAAATAGAGATTAAAGCGCGACTAGTTTTTTTTCTTTTCTTTTTTTTTTTTTTTTTTTTTTTTTTTTTTTTTTTTTTTGAGACAGTCTTTCTCTGTCACCCAAGCTGGAGTGCAGTTGCATGATTTCAGCTCATTGCAACCTCTGCCTCCCAGGTTCAAGCAATTCTCCTCCCTCAGCCTCCGGAGTAGCTGGGATTACAGGAGCCCATCACCATACCCGGTTAATTTTTGTAGCTTTAGCAGAGACTGGGTTTTCAACATGTTGGCCAGGCTGCTCTTGTCTGGAACGTCCAACCTCAGGTGATCTGCCCACCTCTGCCTCCCAAAGTACTGGGATTACAGGTGTGAACCACCGGGCCCAGCTGCTACTAATTTTCAAAGGATCGATGGAAACAAGCGGTTTTTTTTTTTTTTTCTTTTGAGACAGAGTCTTGTTCTTGTCACACAGGCTGGAGTGCAGTGGCGTGATCTCAGCTCACTGCATGTCTGCCTCCTAAATTCAAGTGATTCTCTTGCCCCAGCCTCCCAAGTAGCTGGAACCACAGACGTGCATCACCATGCATAGCTAATTTTTGTATTTTTGGTAGAGATGGGGTTTCACCATGTTGGCCAGGCTGGTCTTGAACTCCTGACCTCAAGTGGCAACACAGACCAAAATTTTTTTTTTTTTTTTTTTGAGATGGAGCTTTGCTCCTGTCTTACAGGCTGGAGCGCAGTCTCGGCTCACTGCAACCTCCATCTCCCGGGTTCAAGTGATTCTCCTTCCTCAGCCTCCCGAGTAGCTGGGATTACAGGCATGCATCACCACACCTGGGCTAATTTTTGTATTTTTAGTAGACATGGGGTTTCACCATGTTGGCCAGGCTGGTCTTGAACTCCTGACCTCAGGTGATCCACCTGCCTCGGCCTCCCAAAAGTGCTAAAATTACAGGCGTGAGCCACCGCACCCGGCCAGACCAAAACTTTTGTAGAATACAATAAAAGTTAATCGTTAGCAAGATGTACAGGCACCTGGATGTTGTGGCAACGTCAAACTATAAAGTTTCTAAACACATCTCTCAACCTCTGGACTCAGTGCAGGTGAGTCACAGACAGTCCACAGATCACCACTAGTCATTTCTCTCTGGTGTGAAGTTACAGGCCTGCCTATCCCACACCAGGACAATCATCAACTCTCATTAGAAGGAGGCCTAGGGAGCGGCATACACATGTTGCTCAAGACTTAAAGCCAAGTCCAAGTAGAGTCAGGATTTGAACCTATCGGTCTGACTTCCATGGAAAAACAGTTAATAATTTCCTCATGTGCAAGGCACCCCAGATCAAGGAGATATGGAACCCAAGGGCCTTTGCAAGAAATGCCCGAAGAAGAAACAAAGCCCCAACACCATGTTACAGTTTCGAATAGGAAGAATCTTCTAAGTTCTCAAGACAGTTTCAGGGCTGTCCAACCTATCACTCTCTCCATGGAAAAGAACCCAGCAAAACACAGATACACACACAGCAATGTTCTCCCTCACCTTTGCCATTACGGTCTTTTCCCCCTTTTCTTTCTTTTTTGTGAGACAGTGTCTTACTCTGTCACCCAGGCTGGAGTGCAGTGGCACGATGTTGGCTCACTGCAATCTCCACCTCCCAAGTTCAAGCGATTCTCCTGCCTCAGCCTCCTGAGTAGTTCCTGTAGCTGGGACTACAGGAACGCGCCACCACGCCTGGCTAATTTTTGTATTTTTTTAGTAGAAACGGGGTTTCACCACGTTGGCCAGGCTGGTCTAGAACTCCTGACCTCATGATCTGCCCGCCTCGGGCTCCCAAAGTGCTGGGATTACAGGCGTGAGCCACAGTGCCTGCAGTCAGTTTTTTGTTTGTTTTCTTTGGCAACACAGACCAAAACTTTTTTTTTTTTTTTTTTGAGATGGAGTCTTGCTCCTGTCTTGCAGGCTGGAGTACAGTCTCAGCTCACTGCAACCTCTACCTCCCGGGTTCAAGTGATTCTCCTTCCTCAGCCTTCCGAGTAGCTGGGATTACAGGAGTGCATCACCATTCCTCTGCCGTGAGCCACTGCGCACGATCTTCTCTTGGTTTTGATGTTTGGCTCATAAGCCCGGTCAATTGGTGTCAGAGGTTAAGGGGGCCGCCAGGTAAGAAGCCCTCTGGGTGGGGACAGAGCCAGTTTTAAAAGCCTGGCTCAGCATCGTATGGCGCCTCAAGCCTGAATTCCAGCACTTTCGGAGGCCGAGGTTGGCGGATTGCTGGAGCCCAGGAGTTCAAGACCAGCCTGGGCAACATAGCGAGACCTCTTCCTCTCTACAAAAAACCAAACATTTGGCCAGGTGTGGGCAATAATCCCACCTCCTCAGGAGGCTGAGGTGGGAGGATCCCTTGAGGACGGGAAGCGGAGGCTGCAGTAGTCGAGATGGTCACTTGCACCCCAGCCTGGGCGACAGAGCGACACCCTGTCTCAAAAAGTAATAAAATAAATAAATAAGTAAATAAAAGCCTGGCTCCGTTGACACTCTTCCTCCTCCACCCCAACACTGAAGGCACCGGACAGTTCTGGGCCCTGCCTGAATGCTGCTGCCCGTCTCTATGACCGCGGGAACTATCTGGGTTTCACACCTAGGGTCAAACATGTCCCCGGCCAAAGTCGGAATTGAGTCTGGGTCGCCAGTCCAAGACGCTGGTCCCTGCTCCACCGCTGCCTCTACAAAAGGAGTGAGTCCAGCTTTCAGCCAGGCCCCCGGGAGGCGCTCCAGGCGGGGATACAGCGCGGTCCGGCCAGGCTGCAGAACCCGTGGCCTGCAGAGGCGGCCCCTGCCCGAGCCCCGGATTCAATCTGCCGTTGTTCATTCCGAGAAATTTGGAGACTTGGGCCACGCTGGCTTTCCCGGCGCGGTCGCGCGGGTGGGGAAGTCGTCGCAGCCAAGGGTGCCGGCTTCACGGAGGGGCAGCGAGTGTCCCCTCCTGGAGAGGGGTGTCCCGGCGGCCAGGACGCCGGGAGGGGTGCACCCCAGTCTTCCAGCTCCTGCCCAGCTCCTGGCCGCCCACCCCAGCCCCGCTGAGGGCTCCCCCGGGCCCCTCTCGCTCTTGGCACCCCGCAGCCCCCACCCGAGGAACCCGTAAGTTTCCCACCCACTCTGAGCACCCCACAGATTCCCCCCACCCCCCATAAGCAGCGGCTGCGCCCGCGACCCGCCGGGGAGGCCCAGGCCCGGCTCACCTGGCTGGAGGGCGTCGGCCGCGGCGCAGGCTCCGAGCAGCAGCAGCAGCAGCAGCGACCACAGCCGAGTCGGCCGCATGGCCCCGGGCGCCCGGCGGCGGCTCAGGGCGCGGCTGGGGCCCCGCTCGGGGTCCGCGGAGCCGCTCACTTAGCCGCCCGGGCCGCCATAGCGAGCGCAGGGCGCGCAAGACCCGCCTCTTCCCGAGCGGCAGCGGCGCGTCCCGGCGGAGGGGACACGGCTCGGCAGCCCGCACCCAGACCAGCCCAGCCCGCCCCGCCCCCCCCTCCGGCGCCCCTGCCCCTCCCCCAGGGCCCCGCCCCCGCACGGGACTTTCCTGCTCCAGGAACCGCGGCCCTGGGGACCTCTGCGGCCGCCGCGCGGGGACCCCACGCAGCCGGCCTCCCGGAGCCGGGAGCCTCCCGAAACGTCCTGGAGACTGGAGCCACACAGGACGCCCACCTTCGGGGGCCGCGATCCCTTCGGAGGGCCCTTCGAGACCCCGGCCCAGGCCCCCGGGCGTTCCCTGGAGCCCCCACGCCTCCTGCCCCTACTTCACTCTCCTCTGCCGCCACTCGGGTGCCTGATCGCACAATTTGAGGATTCGCCCCTTTGGACGAAAAGTTTGCTTTCATAGCCCCCAGAGTACATATTAAGCTTTTAATCCCCCTCTTTTGTTTTTTGAGAGGGAGTTTCGCTCCATCGCCAGGCTGGAGTGCAGTGGCACGATCTCGGCTCTCTACAACCCCCACCTCCCGTCAACTCCCTTTTGAAAAGGGTATTTTAAGGGGAAGGAGTTAGGGGCCAGTGAAGGAGGGGGTGGGGCACTAGGGGGGAATGGGCTCCAAGCCGGTGGAGGGAGAGATAGAAACTTCCAGAGCTGGGGGAGGGAGAGACAGAAACTTCCAGCGTTTCGTAACTTCGTGGGGTTTGCCCTGGAGCCTGCCGCGGTGCACGAGGAGGAAGTCCCTTAGCAGCTGTGTCCAGTTTGATGCCTGTTGGGAGAGGATTTTAAATCTGCCCTGTTCTTCCAAGATGCGTCATAAAACCAGCGCAGCAAAGGAGGGACATGGTGCAGGGAGGCCAAGAATTTAAAAGCAGGTCGTCCGGGGAGCCCACTGGACGCATTAGCAAAAATGGGTTTTGCAACATAGAGCGTTTCTTTTGCTCTTTCCGCCTTCTTGTATTTCCTCTTTGTAGAACTCTTTTGAAATTGGCTATGCTCGTAAAAATATATGATGAAATACCTAGCAGACAATTGAATTATGCATTGAGTATTTTGAGACATAGAGATGTATGTATGTGTTATGTGAAAAAAGCAGGCTGTAAGTTGGAATCACTTCAAAAATGATGCACTGAGGCTGGGTGCAGTGGCTCACACCTGTAATCCCAGCACTTTGGGAGGCCGAGACACGTGTATTACCTGAGGTCAGTAGTTCAAGACCAGCTTGACTAACATAGTGAAACCTCGTCTCTACTAAAAATACAGAAATGAGCCAGGTGTGGTGACATGTGCCTGTAATCCCAGCTAATTGGGAGGCTGAGGCAGGAGAATTGCTTGAACCTGGGAGGCGGAGGTTGCAGTGACTGAAATTGCACTACTGCACTCCAGCCTGGGCAGCAGAGCAAGCCTGTCTCNAAAAAAAAAAAAAAAAAAAAAAAAAAAAAAAAAAAAAAAAAAAAAAAAAAAAAAAAAAAAAAAAAAAAAAAAAAAAATTACATATTTGAAACCCAAGGGAAAGGAAAAAAAAGTTTTAAAATGCATTTTGAAGTTAAGCTGTCTGATTACACTAAGGCCAGGAAGGTCTGCAACCTCCTCCTTTGAGGTAGAGTGTTCAGAGGTAGCCACACTAAAGCCAAGGTCGAGCATTCAGTATCCCAATTGCAAGTAGTTGCAAAAGCCCTAAAGCAACTTGCCCTGGAAAGGTCAGTTCTCAGGGATTGCATTTACATTTTTCTGCTCCTCCTGGCTGAACGACTCTTGAAGTCATCGGCAGCTGACTCTTCTACTGAGATCTCCAATCTGAAGAAAACAGGAAACCGAAGCTATTGGTATTTCATGTGAAGGGCATCCAGCATCCTTTGTCTATATCTGTATCCACGCTTCCACGTCACCATGTGATGCCTCCATGATTTCATCTAACTTCCTAAGTGAGTGCCCTCCTGCAGTCCCTGCTTTGGAGGCGGATTTACTGTGAAGTTACTGAAAGCTTAACCTTCAGTGGCCCTCCTTTGCGGGCCTCTTCCCAGGCCATAAGAAGGCACTGTGTTCACATGGTCATATGCTTTTGTGAAATCTGCAAAGTGACAGACTTTGCCCACAATTGTTTGGGCTTTGGGCTTTTGTCTTTTTTCCTCTTCCAATGTACCACAGTGTTTTCCTCCAATGTTCTACTCACATAGGGTGGCGTTGCAGTGGCTATGAGATTTTTGAGTAATGTCTTGACATTTTATAGCATAGGCATAGAGAGATAGATCAACAACAAATAGTGAAGTTTAAAGAAACTTTTCTATACTGTCAATAATTAAAAAATAATTTTTGATAAATTGTAGAAGAAAGACTGAATTAACTTTCTACTCCTATAGAGAATATTGCAAAAGTTTGTCATATATAGAGGCAAAGATGTCACAGTAAAAAAAAATTGTAAGTAAAGAGTACTGTGGAAGTGTATCAGGCAGTTAACCAATACAGATAGTGTTTTGCTTTTCTGGATCTTGTGATGTTAGCGGTGTTTGGCAGCTTTAAAAAATTTTGTAACCAGACCAGATGCAGTGGCTCATGCCTGCAATCCCAGCACTTTGGGAGAGTGATGTGGGTGAATCACCTGAGGTCAGGAGCTCAAGAGCCTGGCCAACATGGTGAAACCCTGTCTCTACTGAAAATACAAAAATTAGCGAGGTGTGGTGGTGCGCGCCTGTAATCCCAGCTACTCAGGAGGCTAAAACAGGAGACTCGCTTAACCCCACGAGGTGGAGGTTGCAGTGAGCCGAGATCATACCACTGCACTCTAGCCTGAACCACGGAGCAAGATGCTATCTCAAAAAAAAAAAAAAAAAAAATTGTAACCTCTTTGTTTTCTCATTCTAAAGAAATACTTTTGGTCAGATGCAGTGGCTCATACCTGTAATCCCAGCACTTTGGGAGGCTGAAGCAAGTGGATCACCTGAGATCAAGAGTTCAAGATCAGCCTGGCCAACATGGTGAAACTACATCTCTACTAAAAACACAAAAATTAGCCAGGCATGGTGGCAGGTGCCTGTAATCCCAACTATTTGAGAGGCTGATGCATGAGAGTTGCTTGAATCTGGGAAGTGGAGGTTGCAGTGAGCTGAGATTGCGCTACTGCACTCCAGCTTGGGTGACAGAGTTAAGGTTCCCTCATGTACACACAAAAAGAAATACTTTCGTGCCTAATTTTATACTGAGTTGTGTATTTGTTTATAAAGGCGCTCCATGTGTTATATACACCAGCCCTACAAACACTGAATCTGCACCATCCCTTTCCATTAATTCCTTACCTTCCAATCAGTTTTCTGAAGCATTTCTAATAGCCTAGAGGGGCTCCTCCTGCCTCCCTCAGGAGAGTGGGTGGGGGATGGCAGAAAGAAGGTGACATTTTTTGCTGGTCAATGGTGCTTCTTTATGTATTAAAACATGAAGGCCTCCCAGTCATGGCTGTCCCATGGGGACCCGGCAGAGTTCCGTGACTTGACCTGTGTGGGTTTGCACTGCGGCAGCTCTGATAAACTGTAACTGCATTTCCTAGAATCCCCCTCCCTGAAAAGTTCTGAGGTAACGTGTGCAGGGAGGGATGTTTGTGTGTGTCTTAGTTTCTGTTGCTTATAACAGAATATCTGAAACTGGGTTATTGATAAAAGAAATTTATTTCTTACCGTTTGGAAGGCTGGGAAGTCCAAGGTCAAGGGGCTGCATCTGGTGAGGGCCTTCTTGCTGGTGGAGATTCTCCGCAGAATCCCAAGGTGGCCGGGGGGCTGAAGGTGCTAGGGTGCTCAGATGTGTCTTCATCTTTTTTTTTTTTTTTTTGAGATGGGGTATCACTTTGTTGCCTAGGCTGGAGGGCAGTGTTGCGATCTTGGCTCACTGCAACCTCTGCCTTCCAGGTTGAAGCAATTCTCCTATCTCAGCCTCCTGAGTAGCTAGGATTACAGGCATCTGCCACCATGCCTGGTTAATTTTTGCGTTTTTAGTAGAGATGGTATTTCACCATGTTGCCCAGTCTGGTCTTGAACTCCGGATCTCAAGTGATCCACTTGCTTTGGCCTCCCAAAGTGTTGGGATTACAGGACTGAGCCACTGCACCTGGCACCTCCTTTTATAAAGCCACGAGTCTCACTTCCATGATAATCCATCGATCCATGAACCCATTAGTCCATGGATGGATCCATCCCTCCACGAGGGCAGGGCCACCATAACCAATCACGTCTGAAAGGCCTCATTTCTCCATATTACCACTTGGGGAGTTAAATTTCCAGCACGTGGAATTTGGGGACACATTCAAACCCTAACAATGTGCAAGACTTGGAAGGTGGAAGGAGTGGTGCAGCCATATTCCTTTACCCTCCAGAGGCTGGGGCAGGGCATGAGGCATCTTTGCAGCTCACGACCTGTGGCTTCTCTGCTGACCTCCTGGATGGCGGGGATGCAGACAGGCTCCAGGCTCCTCCACCTCCTGTGGGATCTCTTGCAGTCGTGTAAGCTGGAGGTGTAGAGATGGAGAGCAACAGAGGAGGGTGGCAGCTGAGCCTTAGATTCCAGCTTGTCCTTGCTTCCTCCACCTCTTGCCCACCTCTTCCTGGCCTCCTGCTCTGAGGACTTCAGCCTCCAGCACTGGAAAGGAGAAAACTGTCTCTCCTGGCCTGTGCACACATCTCTCATGTTTATATTGAGGTCACATCTCTATAACAACACACACACACACACACACACACACACATCACATTGATCATGCTCCAAATCACACAGCCAATGAGTGACAGTGTGGGCTCCTCGCCAGGCTGCTCTAGTGCCAGAGCCCCCTGCATTTCACAGCAGACTTCTCATCATGCTGTTCAGTTTTCTCGAAATCAGGCCCAGCTTTGTGCCCAATCAAGGGCTCCACAGCTCCCCAAGACCCGGCTATTCCATCAGTGAGTCTTTGAAGTTGTACGTCACAAAGGTCACATGTGCCCTACTTGTCTGCCTCTTCCACTGCTGTTCACCCCACAGGTTTGCACCTCTCCC